ATTCTATTTCACTTTAAATAGAATTTATATATTTGTTTTTAAGAGACAGAACTGTTTTGTTCTCGCCTGTGTTCGCGGCTGCAGGTGGACATGAGATCTGCACTCGACAAAATCATTGAAATAGAAAATGAAGACATTTGGATCCAGAGCAAGACTCCAGAAAAGGAGGAGAACCTCCTCTTCTCTCCGTTTCACATAGACATCCGGACGGTACGACACACATCACACACTTTATGTGTGAAAACACTTAGAAAATTAGATTTTCTTAAAATCTAAAAGTAATATCATTTGGCACATGGGAAAGTAACTTCTTTTAACATTTTAAACTTTCATAAATACTCACATATTAGAGGAAATATATTAATGTGACTTAATATCCCTGAATTAAACACTTATATATTAACACATGTATTTCCAGGCCTGCTATCATTAATTATTATTATCTCTTTTTGTTGTTGTTGTCATCAGTTTGTTTTTAATAGATTTGTAAAAGTAAATCTCAAACAACAACAGCAGAAACGTCTCCAGTGTTATTAATGTATCTACACCACAGCGTCACGGCCATGTGGCGGCAGCAGAGACCTTCACTCTCGACTGTTCAGCTCCTGGTTTTTTTTCCGTCTCTGCAGAAAGTGGAGGGATACGCTGTGAACTCTCGACAAATCGACGCTCAGCTGGAACAGAAAGTCCTCACTTCCTGCCTCGAGGAACTGAAGCTTTTTCCTAGAAGGTTTGTCACATGATGAATGTGCACATATTACTATACTGCACATTTCCCTGTTTCACGTTGAACTGGGTCAGTCACAGTCGGAGACACGAGGCCCCGGTCCAGGCCCATGAGCTCCTGGGCTGTTTGGCTCCTTCAACCTGTTCCAGACAGGAAATGCTTGAGATCGTCTTTGAGGAATTGATAAATCCTCCTGTAGAGTCAGACTCTCCAGGGACAAAATAAAGTGAGGAGGAAACCTGACAACAAGCCGAGCAGAAAAACAAAACAAACCAGAAACAGGATCCAGCTCCTGTGCAATTACCACAGATGTGTGATTTTACTATTAAGCAATCTAAGAATCCCCCCCATGTGTTTTTCACATAATCTCCAAACTCGACACTTTTACATCTGAAAATCCTGTGAACATCACCTGATCGTCACATGTCCGATTATTAATATTATATCTCAAACTAAAAGAAACAGGGATCAGAGGAAATCCCCCTCGTCCTCCTCTGGACACATTTAATCTCTGAAGCATGAAACCTTCGTCTGCCAAGGACCAACAGTGTCCTTAAATTTAACCAAGCCGCACCCAATTAAACACACCATAGTGTCAGTGCCTGAATATATCTGACTTGTTTCAGGTTCATCCATTCATTTGTGTGGCTCTAAATCACAACGACCATTATCTCGAGGAACTTTTCATATCGATAATAATGAGAATACTGATGATGATCATGATCCGAATAACAATAACAATGACAATAATTAAATATTGCCTAATTCTCATACTTTATTCTTGGAAAATTAAATAACTGTATTCTCAATTATACTAGAAACGTATAATTTGATTTACTACACATAACTAATAGATGCAAAGCTTGTCATTGAGGGAACTCTGTGTTATATGATGCACATTTATCACTTTTTTATCTTCAGTCATGCAGAAACGTTTAGGGTCAAGTGCACTTTCCAAATTCTAACAAGAATAGATTTTTCTATTACTACAAATTCACTGTTTGTTCTCATCAATAGAATCCACAGCCTCTCCAGGCATTCTCACTGCGGCCACAGAGTTTTAAGTTTTGGTTTCAGTTTCTAGAGTTGAGGGTTTTTTTTTTTTTCCCACTTTCTCTCTGAGACCAAATTTCACATCATTATTATTATAACTATGGATAAACTGGATTTTTCTACATGTTCTCTTCTTCTTCACGCCGCAGGTTTGAGGCGGAGTTCCAGCGTCACTGCAGCGTTCTCAAACCACAGCCGCTCTGGACGCTCTATCAGATAACCTACATCAACAGCTTCACTGCTTTACAGTGAGTCACGTCTGTCTGCGTGCAGATGAAACCAAACACCATGATTCAAAATGAACTCAGTGTCGTTTCCAAGCTCTCCACAGGAAGAGGCAAGTTAAACTAATTAAATACTACTGATAGAACGGCCATACTAACATCTGTCTTTACCTCACCGAGACTTTATGGCAGCACGAAAAACAACATCTAACATGTTAAAAAAATAAATACTTTAGACATTATATTCCCCTTAAACTAAATCAAGTTGCACCAAATTACAAACAAACATTCAGACATGTCCCTAAACATGTGTGAAGTATTTCATTAGGTGTCATCTCGTGAAGTATTTATACTTATATACCACTAATATATCTAAAGAAAAAGCCCAGATCTCTAGTTTTACATCGACATAAATCTCTTTCATATAAATCTGGACAGTTTTACAAACATCCTTTGTGAATAATCCTGTTCCATTTTAGTTCAGTGGGTCCTTGTTTCTGTATCTTGCTGAATATAAGCCTGCACAAATGTGGGTTCACTTCAGGACTCACACTGGGGCGCACACTGAGAGCGTTAGAAAGTCCTGCAGGCCTTTTGTTGGGATGATTCATCTCTGAGCTATTCTTGACATTGCCAGGATTCCCAGTGTTGCTGCCAACACATGTTTCCACTTCTTGCAGAGCGGTTCAGAAGACTTATAATTAAATGCAGAGCAGAGACTGGTACCCCACGTGATTTCGAAGAAACAGGGCAGCGAGGGAGAAATGCTTCTGTGTAACGAGCAGGAGAAAGTGAAAGTATTAGCGAGGGCACTGTGAGAAGCCAAACCTCCAAAACCACCTCAGCTGTTTGTCTCTGTCAACGGCTGTGACGGGCCGCTGAAGGACGGGGGTGTGTTGAGGGCAAACATAGTACAAATGAAAGGATAGAGCAAATAAAAAACACAGAACTGGAGGAGAAGTTAAGGAGAGATTTGAGGAAAACTCCGATGCACATCCTAAAATAATCATTTAAAGTAAAATGATATACTCGGGTGAATACTGTGAATCGATGGGTTGAATTTAAATTTCCAGACATGTTGCGACAAGAGGCCATAGAGTCAAACTTTAACTGTTCTGCACCAAACTTTTAAGTGTCAAGCAGAAAGAAACCATAACCTCCTTGCCACAGGTGACCATGTCCCATCTACTAACTTGGAGGAGGTGGGGTTTATAACCGATACCACAGCCAGCCAGACTCTTTGGCGTCCTCTTTATTCACGGTCTGTGCTCAGAACCTGTTTATCCACGTCCTCCTGCAGGCAGCACATGGAGGGATACCTGAGCGCCTGTCCAGACGAGGTGGAACACTTCAGGAGAGAGGTGAAGTTGCTGATTGTCATGCTCCTGCAGGACCTGGAGGACCAGTTCAAAGAGGACGTGAAGGTGTGAAGACATTTACAGGTTCTGAGTTTTACCAGCAGCTGAAAACCAGTTTGGATTTCATTTCAATGTGTCTCCTCAAACACAGCAGCTGTTTTCTGTGGTGCTTATAAAAAGGGGAACTGAAAAGCGGATGTTCCTTTCCTGAAGCTCTAATAATAAAAACGTTTTACCAATTAACACAAATTCGCACATGCAGGATGTAAGTGTGGTCGGGTCCTCATAAGATTAAATAATCAACACAACAAATTGTATAATCTAGAAAAGAAAACAGGTGAGTTCCTTGCAAATCTACAATCAGTGAACGTTTGGTTAAAGGCACAAAAACTACTTTGGTAAAACCAGAGAAACCGACCTCCTTCCGAAAGGCAAAGTGCTTTTCTTTATTTGTGAGGCTTCAATCTCTGCATCCTCAATGGCTCATGTTTAATGTGATGCTGTGGGAAATAATATACGCATTTTCACATTTAAGCCTCTGAAGCCAGTAAAACAAATATTTCAAGGCAAAGGTCAGAATTACCTCGACCTCCCAAATCCAATCAGTTAATCGCTAATTGTGCCAAAATTGAAAAGGATTCTCTTGAGTCGTTCTTAAGATAAAACGTATTTTATCTCATCACATCATCAGTCCAGGGGAGCTTTTCTACCGAAGTCGAGATGAAGACCAAACGTGTTTCGTGAGGTCAAAGCAAACTTTGAAAACACAAATCTAACAAATTCCTCCTTGAGTCCTTCTGAACGTTTGTACCAAAGTCCGAAGACAGACGCCTCCAACCACTGGCTGTGGCCGGTGTAGAGGAATAATTAAAAAACATCCCACAAACCTCTGGGGAGTCAAACAGAGAACACTCAGGTAACTGTTGAAGAAGATGTTTGAGGTTTTTCTTTCTGTACCTTCTGTTTCTCCAGCCGTTCCTGAGGCGGATGATGACGAGGAAGTGGCTCACCGACGACAACGACTTTAATAAACTCTACAGTCGTGCAGAGCTGCTCTGCGAACACTGCAGTCTCATAACGCCGCCACACGTCCAGGTTAGTTTGAAAACACATCAGGGAACCCAGCACTTCCACAAGACTTCCTTTCCAACATTTCCTCTTTAATCGTGATTAGGTCCCTGCCCTGAGTATTGGTATGATCCGAAAATGTTTCGCCATTTGGCACAAAATAATCAGATTCAATTTAATTCAATATCACTGAGGCCTTTAATCGAAAAAGAAAAAATGTAATCAGGGTAGTTGCATAACATTGGACGGAAAGTAACAGAGGTAAGGTTTTCTCATTTCTCTGTACTCGCTCTGGAGCCGTGCCAAGGAAATGCTCATCTGCTTTTCCATGACCTGTTTGAGAGGTTCCCGTAAAAAACAGGGACGAAAGAATAGGAGGAAGTGGAGGTGCCAGTAAGGAGTGTTCATCGTGTGAGGGATCTAAAAAATGTGACCACCTCCCAACACCTTGTGTGTGTGTGTGTGTGCGTGTGTGTGTGTGTGTGTGTGTGTGTGTGTGTGTGTGTTACCCGGAGACAGGAGTTGGCGAGCCACTTGCACTACCACGTGGTGAGGGAATACATCGGCCAACTAATGAAGAATAACTACTCCTGCAAGAATCGGAAGCACAACATGGCAGCAGCCAAGATCTGTCAGCAGTGGGAGAAACTGGTTGATGTGTTTCAGGACATGGTAAAAAAAAAAAACATCAACAGTAATGAATGTAAAACAATTAAAAGATTTATATTGTTTTGTTGTCATTACTGTGACCATTCAAAAAGTAAAACTTGTGGATTATTTCTGATGTTTCTTCTTTTCTGCCGTAGAAGTCGACTCGTGAGTGGCTGAACGCCGCAGGATACGACCTGAGCGACATCATTGGAGAGAAAAACCAGAAGCAAATAAAGGATCATCTTGAACCTGTGGTGGAGCACTACCCTGACTTCAGGTGAGCTTTTCTAATAAAGGAAGCTTGGCCTGGGAAATTCTGACTTTTCTGTTTAGTCTGAAACAAAAACATCAGGTTTGAACGGTTCCTCTGAGCCAACAAACTCAAATCTGGTCCGACCCAAACAGTTCTCTGTCCGGATAAAACTGAACAATGGTTCGGTTAGTTTGGAGCCGCTTGTTTGGATTCAGCAACTCTCACACTAATCACAGGAAGTTGAGGCAGCAATAAACACGAGCGCCAACTTCAGACGACGCGGTCTACAAACCAATCAATGTCAAGCATACGCCCGCGTAGGTGATGACAACAAGACGTACGTAAATTATTTAGTCCCGGAATTATAATGTCAAAATTAACCAGATCAAGGAAACACTGGGTGAAAGCAACGTTGACAAACCTTTGGAGGGCTGGTGTTTATCCAGCCGCTGATGAACTCGGGCAAGGTCAGAGTTACGTCAGAGTGGGGGGGGGGGGCTTTCCCAAGCAACAACAATGATTTTCGAATACACCAGATAAGTTGATCATTGTACTGACGCTGTACAACAGAGAAGAAAAAATCCAGCATGAAGACATTTAACCAACATCCTGATTTTCTTTCCTTTTTGAAAGTCTGGTTTTAAAAAGTGTCTGAGTTCCCTCTTTGTGACTGTGGTTGGTAGGAAACTCTGTTGAGACAACAGAGTTCTCACATTAATGCTGGTCAAGGAGTTTCCCCTTTTTTTTTTTAAAAACTCTTTTACACCAGAACTAGAAGCAGGTTCCTTAAACGCTGCTAAACCCTCTGAAAATGCAACTTTCCCACTGTCAGGAGAGGAGCTTGACTTTCTGTTGGTTTCCCTGGAAATTCATGTTTGACGTCACAAGTGCACGACCACTGGGGTGTTGACTGGGAGTCATGTTTCCATCAGTGCAGATAGAAACGCAGTCAATAAAACCCTGAGTCGACAGCAGTCTTTTGAGCCAGGGGTGAACGCCAATTGAATCAATTCCCATTGCAGACAAAATCCAGATGTTCGTGGGTTTTGTGACCAGTGCAAAAGAGGCTTTAGACTCAAGTTAGATGAAATGGATGTAAAATATTTCAATATCTTAAACCTCGGATCGAGTCCAAACACAGGCAGCTTCTGCATCTGTCACGTTCTCCGTGTGCTAAAAATGAAAACAGGAAGCAGGAATTGACTATTATTGTGATCTCACATTAACCAAAGTGTTACGTGGAATAATTACTTTCTTACTGAGAAGCCTTGAGACGTGTCAAACTCATGACTGATTAACAGCTGAGTAGCACATGCCTGCAGTCAGATGAGAGGGTTAGTCAATCTAAAAGGAGAAATACACAGTGATGCAATGAGGTCGATGCTGGTCTCTGTAGGTAGTTTGTCTTTTGTTGTAATGTTTGTTAAAACTCAATTCTCTTACTCAAACAAAGAAAAAGCTCCTTTGAATTTGTTTTCCTAGTTTCTGGTGGGTTTTCTCTGTTTACTCCTGTTTCCTCCCACAGTCCAAACACAGGTTGGTTAACTGGAGACTCTGAAGTGGCCGCAGGTTGTTTGTCTCTGGATGTCCGCCCTGTTATAGACTGGAGACCTCTTGCTCTGTAGGAGCTGGGATTTTCTCCAGCTCCAAAAAGAAAATGGTTCTATGGGCCACCATTACATTATTAGTTGAACATCTCTAAAGAGTAACTATATTTAATCTTGCATTGTTTTCTTTTATCATTCAGATTTACACTTTAGAAAAAACTTCTTCAATCGGATAAAGTGGAATTATGCAGGCCTGAACTAATTTATTTATCCAGTTTCACACATATTTTAAATTTGCCATGGTCCACTCAGAACATGTTTCCTCCTTCAGAGTCTCAGTCAGAAACACTGAACAATCATCAACAGTGGAGAAAACCAAGAGTCTTCTCCACCAGATTCCTGCTCTGAAGGAAACATCTTAACTCTTCATCGTGGGCAGCGAGACCAAACTCTTTAGAAACACATTTCTCAAGTCAACAACTATAGAAATGATCCCTGAAAGTATAGTCTTGGTTTGTTCTGGATGTTTCTCTGAGTCTTGTATCTWCAGACGTGAACCTTTACTCCTGGTGAGCTGCTGTGATTCAGAAAGACAAACCTCCTCCAATCACAACCAGATTAAACTTTGATTTTTGTGGGTAGTTGCTGTCGTAACATTCAGAAAATGCTCAATAACCGGAAATGTTCATGTAGTCGATAAAAGTTGTACAGTGATGAATAAGCCTGATTTATCTGTATTGTGTCTTGTTCTTCACACCCTGCAGCAGGAATCACCTGGTCGCTGTTCTGAACTTCAGAGGTCTGACGAGAGGCCGAGAGCACCAGCTCATCCTGCAGAGATTCGCCGCGCTGAAGAAGAAACTGGGCAACGCCGGCGGCGACAGAAACCAAGTGTTGTTTAGCGACATGCAGGTCAACGTCAACACAGACTGCCTGTCCAATCTGCTGCACTCCTGCCTCAGCTTCCTGCGGCCTCACAGCTAATTCAACACAGACAATGAACTGATGGAGGAAGTGAAGAAGCTCAAGTAGTGGATTTATTAAAGACTAGTTGGACACAATCACTGTTCTTCTCAGGTGGTTTCACTGTTTTTGGTAAAATTAGAATTTGCACTGTCAAACACAGCCCTGTTAACTCAACTGAACGTCGTTACACAGAATGAGTGAAACCTTATTATTATTATTGTTGTTGTTTTATTATCACTTCACCAGGGAGGATGTGTTTTCACTCCTGACATGGAGCAAGAAAGAACTCATTACATTTCGCTGTGGATCAGGACAAAGAAGCAGATCCATGAATTATTTTCACTTTCTTTAACGTAGTGAGATACTGTGGTTTGTCCTTTTCACATATTTACCAGGGAACAATACAGGATGTACTTGATTTWAAAAATCTGTCATATTTAGAGGATGGAAATTTATGAGTGTGTAATTTTGTGCAGAATAARATGATAGAATATTCTTGTATCAGAGACTCACGTCATTTATAATCACTGTCACACTGGGTCACAAATACCCACATGCAGATCAATATGCCACTGAAAACAGACYCTGACACATGATCACAATAAAGCTTCTCATAACAGAGACACGGAACATTACGGCTGATACAAAACTTTATTTCTATTCTATGTTGAACTTCAGATCAAAGCTTTGACTCAACATTAATGAACATTATTTTTCAAACATGTATGAAAACCACTCAGAACATGTTTCCTCCTTCAGAGTCTCAGTCAGAAACACTGAACAATCATCAACAGTGGA